AACTTTCCATCCTTGTTCATATTTTGTATCCATCCATCAATTTATTCATCCACTCATTCACTCACTTTTCCTTCTGTCACATCAGTCCATAAATCATCCATCTATCTATCTATCCATCCATCTAATCACCTATCCAATCATCCATCCATCCATCCATCAATCCATCAGTCTACTCATTAATCTGTCCATTTATCCATCCAACCACACACTTGTCAATCTGTCATCCATTCTCCCTTGTAATCACCCATTTAACCACCCAATCATTCACTCATCCATCTATCCTTCGTTCTGTGTTTTTCTGGGTTAATCTCACTGCAAGTGGTGTTGTGCACTGATAGGCTTGTGCACTTTTATCCTCTTTGCACTGTATGCAGCCGTGCGTATTGAGTCATGTGTCTTTTGTGTTTGTGTCGTAATCCCGATGCCTCGGTATTCCTTCCCATTGTGTATGTGTAGATGGATTGACATGACAATAGAAATTGACTTCACTTGGCTAAATGAAGTCTCTGTTCTTCCCTGTCGTGCTGCGAATATTGATCATAACTGTCTGGAATTATGAATGTAATATCTTATAAATGACAGCCCGTGAGTAATTAAATTAGAGTGACAGCTCGGGCCTTTTTCTCCTCTTGTTCATCCTGAAAAGCTGACATATTAATATCATGCTGTGTTGCATTATACATTATATATAATAGGCAATATGAAGTTTCACTCCAGTTGCGCCTTTATGAGTTGTATCGCCATCCCCCCCACACACACACACACCCACACATGAAAACTATGACCAATATAAAAACATGTTCACTTAAGGCAATAAATTGACACATCTAGTTATTTGAAGTTATCTCTAATCCACTACATTTCTGCAAAGAGCAAACATAACACTTACCTGAGGATGGGATTTAATTAAGCCTGCTGCATGTTCCAACTTTCCCAGGCTCCTCCGATCTGTTGTGATGAGGCCATTTTAATAATGAATAGGATGAGAAGACCACAAACCAATTAGCCAGTGACATTTGGGGAAACAGCCGGGAGCGGAGCATATGGACGAAGCCGGGCCTGTTCTTTTCTTAAATGCCATGCTGAGTTTGTTGGAGATGCCCTTACACATACAATATGCGTGTGGATGTCGTGTGCTTTTGGGCATTTCTAAGGCTCGATATTGTAGCCTTAGGGAGTATATTTTTTAGGCTTCTGTATTTGGTGATGCAGAATAAGTTCATTTACGTTAATGCTCACTAACTAAGATTCTTATATCGGTAAGGGATATAACACTTCAGGCCATGCTCTTAGAGGAAATTTATCAATGACATGGTGTGTGAGGCGACCCGTTGTAAAGCAAAGCATGTCCAGAAGTTGTTTTATTCCTCTTGTAGCACAGCAGTTTGCCTACGCGTTATACATTTATCCATTTGTAGTTACATTTAACGTTGAGGAAAGTCCATGAAAGGGATAACCGCTATAAACAGTGGTTTACTCTCCGCTCTGTCTTTTCTTTTTCTTGATATTAATAACCAAACAAACAAAAAGGCAGTTTGTCACGTTACTGAGAAAGTAGGCTTCTGTATTTGGGCATGCCTAGGCCATGTGCTAGACTTTCCCATTTCTGAGTTCTTACAGCTTTACCACTAACTGTTAGGCAGTACTGACGCTGGAGACTCCTTCCAAAAATGCTGAATAAATCTCACAGAAAACGTCACCAAATCAACTACAGTTCAGTTACTCATAGTTACTACAGAAATAACAACACATTAGAATGGGTGCATGAAGCTGTAATAAACCTGTAATTTGAATTGCGGCTGGAACTACTGTCAGAGCTGCGGTTCATAGAAATTTACTCAACACCCTCTGATCAGTCAGGATTGAGAACTCCTCTGTGTTGTGGTATAAGAGATAACACAGTGCTCCTGGAGCAGTTGAGGGTTAAGGGCTTTTCTCAGCACCAGCCTGGCAATGCTAGGATCCGAAGTCGCAACCTTCTGATCGGTAGCCCTGAATCTTAACCACTGATTCACCACTGTCCTTTAGAGCTTACTAACTGAAAGAATAAATATTTCGTATAGTAAGCAGAAGCATCGTTATGTACACAAATACAGCTTTAAAAAAATGAAATGTTAAATGACTATTATAATCAAATAAAAGCTTAATGATGATGACACTTCATCAGTGAATCATAGGGCTGTCTCGTCTAATGAACGCTGCACGCAAAAGAGGTTTCCTCTCCCAGGCCTCATAGATAATAATAGCAATAATCGCCAGCTTGTTTAAATGCCACAGCATTTAAATTGTTACAGCTTTGATTGCCGTGACTTGTCATTTTTAAGTAACATCAATCCAGTAGATTTACTTTTGTTTTAAAATTGCGCAGGGGCAGGCGTCAGTTTTAATTAGCGAAAGGCAGGTTTATTTTTGGCATCAGACGACCCATACTTCAGGCATGTCAGTCATACACGCTCTGTCCACTTTACTAGGAAAAGTACTCCTGCACATTTATGAAATTATCCAATTAGGCAATCATGCGGCAGGAGCACAATGCATAAAATCAGGTCAGGTGCTTCGGTGAATGTTCACATCTGGATGGTGAAAATAATGTGGTCTCAGTGACTGTGACCGTGGCATGGTTGTTGGTCCTGGACGTGCTGGTTTGAGTATTTCAGAAATCTTCACACACAACAATCTCACTATTTTACACAGAACGGTGAGAAAAACAACAACAAAAAAGCATCCATTGAGTGTCAGTTCTGTGGCTGGAATCACCTTGTTTTTTACGGTAACTCAAATAACTGCTCTACAACCGTGATGGACAGAATGCACATCACTCCAAGCCTTGAGGAGGATGGGCTACAACAGCAGAAGACCACATGGGGTTCTACTCCTTTCAGCCAAGGACAGGAATCTTAGGCTACAGTGGGCACAGACTCACCTAGTTGGGAGGAAACTGGAGAACCTGGAGGAAACTGACACACACACTGAGAACATGTGAACTTCCACACAGAAAGTAACCTGATCTCAGGATGGAACCAGGGATCCTGGAGCTGCGTTAGTGAGCTCTGAGTCACTGCTATAGTTCTACCATTCCCGATCTTATCGCTCTTAGACTGTTCTGCATTTTCCCCCCCATCACCCATCCTAGTTGACTATTTCTCTCGTATGTCTGTCTAACTCGACTGTCTTTTTAATCTTTTGCTGTCTGTCTCACTTTCTCTCCATGTAGCGTTTTTTTTTTTTTTTTTTTTTAAGATGCGAGTCCCTCGCTCTGTCTGGCTGCTTAGGGACAGGCAAGGCAGGACAGCACTCGGGCAGAATGAAACGCAGCCAAGCACACGGTTGCCGTCGGTAAATAAGCTTCAAATTAATTTGAGCTCATTAATTGGAAATTGTTTGCCCGGGGATTTCTGTATTATCCCAAGTACTTACAATGCGAGCAGAGATGTAGGAACATGATAATTTTTTTTCTTTTGTGTCCTTAAGAAAGCGTAGGAGGAGGGTGACAGAGGGGGAAAAAAAAAAAAAACATGATTTGTTAAGGGAAGAGAATGTCAATGATTTCTTTTGTTGGGTGCGGGAGATTCTTCTGACCTTTCAGGAGACCTTATTGTGCTTTGGCTCAGTATTTAAATTGATTCTGTCTTGGAAAAAGAGCACAAAATGAACTTGGGGTCCGAAGTCCCCTTTCTCCCGGTGGTTTTAATCAGCCACAAACAGATGGTTATTGAAAACAAGCTCTAAGCGTGACAAACGCTCTAGCCTTTACACTCAGCTCTTCATGTTGCTGTACATGCGTCAGACTGTGGAGCTGTGACATTAATGCTAATACGAAGCAGCTAAACCAAGAGGGCCAAATTCGCAATTCTCTATTTTTCCTCTGTACCAATCTTAATGTAATTTAATTTCTCTGTACAGTATTGCTGAAATGGCCATAGATAGTCATAAAAGCAAAGGGGCAGCATTAATAAAGAACAACACAAGTACAAGAATAACAGTGACAGCCAATAAAGCGTTACAATACTAAACGGATAGATGTTTCGTTTTAATGTAAGTTCAGTTTAATTCCATAGAAATGTCTTGGCATGCACAGTCATGTTTAAAAATGTAACGACATCGAACAAATTATGCGACAATTTTACAGGTTCTCGAATTCTGATTGGTCAGACTACCTGGTGTTGATTATTTTTCTGTAACAGCGCGGCTCTAACAAGTATATTATAGCTTATAGTAACCTTTTAATGTCGGGAACGTCCGTGAAGCACGTTCCTGTTGTTATTTACTTTCTAGCAGGTATACGCAGTCATTCCCTCACTTTACCTTGATGTTATTAACACAAAAAAACATGCAGCTTTTCCCAAAATCGTCCATAGATATTCAACTGGGTTGAGATCTGGTGAGTGTGAAGGACATATCATAAAATTTACACCATAATTCATCAACTCATCAAACCATTCAGTGAGCACTCGTGCCCTGCGCGTGGGGCGGAGTCATTCTGGAAGAGACCCCACCCATCGGGATAGAAATGTTTCATTATAGGAGAAAGGAGATCAGTCCTGATTTGCAGTTGCATTGTTCTCTTCAAGGGGGAAAGTCTATCTAAACCAGACGAACAAAATAAATAATAAACAAAACAGCATAACAGATTGTGTTGACACTAATTATGTGAGGGGAAATGCTGGGAAATGTTTATTAAAATCACAAGTGACATTTTAGGATTTAGCACACCACTTTTGCAAAATTGACTTTTTTTTTTTTTTGGTTAAGAATTCCCCCACGTAACCAGGGCAGCCAGGATTTCCGAAACATATTCATTTCCTTTCAGTAATTAAATAAACCGTTCTATCCGGATGTTTGAAGCGGCAGAAACAAAAAAATTTGGTCAAACTCAATGTGTCATAAGCGTTTGATCATTTGCTGATGCTTTTTATGCAAAGCAGCATGCAGTTGAGGCAGGATACATTTGAGTCGTGGAGGGTAAAAAGTCTTGCACAAGGACCCAACCATGGCAGCTCGGCAGTGCTGGGATTTAAACTCATGACCATATGATCAGTAGCCCTATGCCTTGACCACTGAGCCACCACTTCTTCCGAGAGCTCTGGACCACTCTTGGGTTTTTGGCTTCATGCTGTGTGAGTCGAGGATCAGTCTTGAGTAGGTTGTTAGTCCATGTAATGATCCATTACATCATGTTGGTTTTGGGAAACACATCCAGTACACAACTTGTTGACTTTGGTGCTACTGTGGATGCTCTTTTTTGGCCCACAGTTTGTATCTTTTTTGAGTTTGTTCTTTTCTTAAATGCCATGCTGAGTTTGTTGGAGATGCCCTTACACATACAATATGCATGTGGATGTCGTGTGCTTTTGGGCATTTCTAAGGCTCGATATTGTAGCCTTGGGGAGTGTTTTTTTTTAGGCTTCTGTATTTGGTGATGCAGAATAAGTTCATTTACGTTAATGCTCACTAACTAAGATTCTTATATCGGTAAGGGATATAACACTTCAGGCCATGCTCTTAGAGGAAATTTATCAATGACGTGGTGTGTGAGGCGACCCGTTGTAAAGCAAAGCATGTCCAGAAGTTGTTTTATTCCTCTTGTAGCACAGCAGTTTGCCTACGCGTTATACATTTATCCATTTGTAGTTACATTTAACGTTGAGGAAAGTCCATGAAAGGGATAACCGCTATAAACAGTGGTTTACTCTCCGCTCTGTCATTTCTTTTTCTTGATATTAATAACCAAACAAACAAAAAGGCAGTTTGTCACGTTACTGAGAAAGTAGGCTTCTGTATTTGGGCATGCCTAGGCCATGTGCTAGACTTTCCCATTTCTGAGTTCTTACAGCTTTACCACTAACTGTTAGGAAGTACTGACGCTGGAGACAGAAAACGTCACCAAATCAACTGCAGTTCAGTTACTCATAGTTACTACAGAAATAACAACACATTAGAATGGGTGCATGAAGCTGTAATAAACCTGTACTTTGAATTGCAGCTGGAACTACTGTCAGAGCTGCGGTTCACAGAAATTTACTCAACACCCTCTGACCAGGGAATCCCTGACAGGGATTTTGCCAGCTTGGAGTCGTGTGTGTTGTCCAGATGATCACCTGTCAGTCAAAGCTTGTGCAGGTTCCTCTTGGCGTCACACATTTGTGAGGCAGCGCTTCACCTTTTCAGACTTTTTGAACTGCTAACGTGTGCCAGTGCTTTGCTTTTCTCTCCATGACCATTTTCTTGATGCAGAGAGCTTGTATTTCTGCCTTTCCCTTCCCGTTTATAACTGCTCCCTCTGTCTGTCTCTTATTTCTTTGCAGATGCTAAAGAAATCGTTCTGAAGGCTCAGATCCTGGCAGGGGGCCGAGGCAAAGGGGTGTTTGACAGCGGCCTGAAAGGTGGAGTGCACTTAACCAAAGAGTGAGTGAGTTCCTGCTCTGGAAGATTGGAGACATTGTCCTCTCTCTAACGTTCTCTCTCTATCATTCTCTTTCTCTCCTACATTCTCCTTTGTTCCGTTGCCTTTTCTGTCTCTCTTTCTTTAAAATTGACAGCCCGCAGTCAACTGCTTTTTGTACGCTCACCATCTCACTCAGTTTTCTCAGCCGTGTCAGGCCCTCAGGCCTCCATCTGTTGCACAATTTCTATTTCTTTTCTCCTTTTTTTTTCTACTCTCATCCTTCATATTAAAAGACTTTTTTTTTTTTCCCCCCATAACATGGTCTTTATGACTAACCCGTTTTGTGTGTTGCCAGCCCGACGGTGGTGCAAGAGCTGGCCAAAAAGATGCTCGGCTTCAACCTGACCACCAAGCAGACGCCGAAAGAGGGCGTCAAGGTCAACACGGTGAGTTTGCCTCCAGGAAGCAGGAGCTGCCTTCTTCACGCTCGATCTTTTACCTCACTGCTCATAATCCGCTATTCCGTTCCATTAAATTAATGACCGAGCTCGGGCTCAGGTTGTGAAAAAAAAATCCCATTAGCATTTTTTTTTTCTCTACCTCACCTTCTCCTTTCTTTCGTAGATAGACGAGATGAGACGCGCTCGCTTTGAAGCCTATTCGTTTTCCTTCTATCTTAAATAAAAGAAAAAAAAAATCCTAGTTATGAAAACATGTGAAAACCAAAGCCATTGAAGAGCCAGTGTGTCATCTCTCTATCACTAACAAGCCAGTGGATCACTTTCTCATTTTCTCTCCCTTTTTTTTTTTTTTACTCTTTCCTTCACACACACTCCTGTCTGTAGCACAGAAAATGAAAACACACACATGCCTATGTTTACAGGTAATGAATGTACGGTGCTGTTAGTGTTAGCATGGTTTTGTTGTTCCTCATTTTGTGGCTGTGTGTGACATGAGGCTGGTGCATCGTGTCCCCACACACACACACACACACACACACACACACACACACACACCACCCTCTGCTCCCGTCAGCCGGCTGGAGAAACAGCAAACTGAACCTCGTTTTTCTCTAATTTATTTGTAAACTGTGAAAGTGGAAAAGAGTGGGTTTCTAAAAGACAAAAAACCATTTCTTGCCACATTTATGTATTTAAACTTTATCTATTTCTTGGTTATTCTAGGAGGTTAGTCACCCAAAATCTGTTTTAAAAGTCATCTTTTTCGCAATATTGTAAATTGCTTGATATGGTTGTTCTTCAATGCAACAAAGAAACAAAAAAGTCATTGAAACACTTATAAACAGGCAAATTAACCAAACTATGTGTATGCATGTTGGAACACGATTAGCTGTTGCATGTTATGATGTAATACGTTAATATGTGTCGCCTCTGTGGCTCAGTCTAAGCAATGGATGTGCGTTTTCTGTGCATCAGTCCTCATAAAGGAGGCGTGGTTTCTGTAGCTGTCAGTCTTAGGGAAAGAGGGCTATCTGTACCTGTAAGTGTTAGTGAAGGGGGTGTGGCCTAAATGCCTGCCAGTTCATGTCGGAGAGTATTTACTTTAAAATTGTTCGAGGATTGGTTTCCGTGTGTGTGTGTGTGTGTGTGTGTCGTCTTGGCCAGAAGTCGTAGACTGATTAATGAATGGAGGGTGTGTAGCAGGGGTGGATTGGAGGCCCGTTAAGAGGCTGTAATTGTGTTGTCATTCTCTGTTTCCACAAACACAAACCACTAGTGAGCTGTCACCATGCCAGCAGCTTATCCGCTAATGTGGCTGTGTTCAGATAACAGTACAGACGCAGTAACTTCTCCTCCTCTCTCTCTCTCACACACACGCACACACGCGCACACACACACTCTGTCCCTCTTTCTCGTCCCAGTTCTTGTCCATGTCCAAGCTTTATAAATATGTGTCTCTGTGGTTGCAGGTGATGGTGGCTGAGGCTCTAGATATCTCCAGGGAGACATATTTCGCCATCCTGATGGACCGTTCGTGTAATGGACCTGTGATGGTGGGCAGCCCGCAGGGGGGAGTGGACATCGAGGAGGTGGCGGCCAAAACACCAGAGCTTATCTACAAGGTGGACACACACACACACACACACACACACACACACACACACACACACACACACACACACACAATCTCTCTCTTATTCACTTCTGCCCTAAATAGTGTAGAAGTGAATACTCTCACTCTGTTGGTCTATTGGTCTGTATGTCCATCCATCCATCCATCCCTCTTCTCTCTTCTCTCTTGCTCACCCTCTCTTTCTATCACTCACTCGCTGTTTTTCTGTTTGTCTCTTTCTCTATCTATTACTACCATCCATCCATCCATCCACCTGTCTATCTATCTATCTATCTATCTATCTATCTATCTATCTGTCTGTCTGTCTGTCTGTCGATCAGTATAGCTATCTGTTTTATCTATCAGTCTGTCTATTTGTTGGTCTATTGGTCTGTCCACCCATCCATCCATCCATCCATCCATCAATCCATCCATTTGTCTCTCTCTCTCTCTGTCTGTATAATTGCATCCTTCACTATGTTAATATGAACATGCACTCTGTATCAAATCAGTCCTGCTGATACTCCCCCCCCCTTCAATTTCTCTCTTCATCTTTTCCTCCACAGGAAGTTATCGATATTTTCGATGGCGTTCGAGACGACCAGGCGCTGCGCATGGCAGCTAATTTGGGCTTCAAAGGGCCACTGGAGAGGCAGGTAATGGAGCAGGAGTCGGAGCAGAGCACCAAAACAACACACACCCTGACACGGCTGTTGCTCTAATACTCTGGCTAAACACTGTGTATGCTGGGCTTTAGTGGGAACATTGCCGATCCACAGAGGCATCAGTAGTCTGTGCAGCGTTTATTTCAGCTATAAATGACTCACTGATGTGCCGTAACTGCCGTGGCTATAAACGATAAGCCCTGATTTAAATCTTCACTGGGCTTTAAAGACATTTAGAGGTTATCTCCATCCCGCTTCTGCCAGGCAGTGATATATACGGCCAGCTCCCGACCTCCAGGAGCCATCTCCTGCTTATTTTAATTCTGCTTCTGTTTTTTTCCCTCTTCTCCTTTTTTTTCCCCTTGCTTCTCCTCCTACACAATTTTTGTATCTGTTGTATCCATCGAGTTGCATCATATCAAAACTTAATTCCATGCTCTTTTCGATAATTAGTTTGGAATGCAGCATTTGTATAAATCAACTTAATGAAGCCCATTTTTAAAGGGTTATGAACACAGAGCACTGGATTCAAATGTCCTGTGTGTATCCGCGTACACACACTGGCGCGTCTGTGTGTTCATACACTGATTCAAACAACCCGAGGAAATTGAAATTATTAGTCAAGTGTGCAGCTTGTCAGATTTCTGCTACAGTCATCCTTTTAATGCTTTTAATAAGGTTGATTTGCAAACAGATCTTCTGCTCAGGACTAATGAAATTTCTTTTGGAGGAGGAATACTGTTTAAACAGGTTGGATATATTGAATAAAGGTAGTCAGATAAAGTGCAGTGAGGTGATTAAAAAAAAAATCACAGTTCCTTCACACCGTGAAGCATGTGAGCCTGTATTTCTTCATATGGATGAATCTGTGAATCAGAATACTGATACACACAGGACACGCCTCCTTCATTGATACTGATACACACAGGACACGCCTCCTTCATTGATACTGATACACACAGGCCACACCTCCTTCACTGATACTGATACACACAGGCCACACCTCCTTCACTGATACTGATACACACAGGACACGCCTCCTTCATTGATACTGATACACACAGGACACGCCTCCTTCATTGATACTGATACACA